ACTTAGAATATGAAGCGTCCTTGGGCACAAAAGCACGCAGAGGATTAGCACAGCAAAGGTGAGAGCAAGCTACAACCAATTTAATGCGAGCACCAGCCTCATGTCTCACAAGAGAGCAACTGGGCTGGAACACAGCTCCATCCCCAGGGCTGCTCCTCTCGGCAAAACCCCACCACCACTAACACACAGCAGCAAACTTTCAACTGGGCTAAAAAATAATAATAAAAAACGAGTACATACTTTCCTGTGGAAAAAAAAAAAAAAAAAAAAAGAAAAAAAAAGCTCTCCAGCTCTGGTTGAGACAGAAAGGGAGGCAGCCGTGCAAACCAGGATCTAATGCACATCCACTCTGAGAACAGACTCCGCTTTTGTAGAGAAAGCAAAAAGCAAACTAATAAACTCAAGTAATTCGTTTTTATTTTTCCGACGTGTACACCTTAATGGTAAAACAATACTAAAACAACCAAGTACACAGGCAAGCCAGATTGTTTTAAGAAGTTCTTTGACCGTACATCCTAATATTTATCTACACCAATTCACAGCCTCTTAATATATCCTCACACCAGTCAGCGTGTCTGCAATTATTTGATGGGCTCTGTTTTCTCATTTCTCTTGTACAGCAATACAGATAAAGTACTTCTTAAACTGCGACAATCTTAAAACAGTCTAAAATCACCACGCGGCACAAACTTACTTTTTAAAAGAAATTATAAACTGTCCATAATTTCTGTACAAAAGATACATTACCTGGATGTTAATGATGGAAAAAAATCTTAGTAATTAAAATTCCCTTTTCATCCTCGGTATATTGAAAATGTCTTTATTGAACCAAGTTTGTGTTGGAGGATTCCCAGATTTATAATAGTACGTGATGTGTCTTTCGCAACAGAGTCAAGGCAAAGCAATGCAGCAAAAAACAAGCAAATTAAGGTCAATGGCTACTACTGCAAACATTACCATGCTTATTATAACAACCTGTTACATTTTATCCCGGTCCATTTTGTAATACAGCAAGACCACTGTATCAAACAGACCGGACTAGGTCAGCCAGTACGGTTCCCACGAAAAACGAGTTCTTTCTATCTGTATCATCAGTTGTAACTAGCTTTTTAATCTTCACTGCTCTGTCCTCCCCAGCCCTCTCACACACACACAAACCCACCAAAAAGTCAGAGGCAGAAATATCTGCTCTGAGATGCAGTTGCATACAGTTAAAATAAATACAAGGTATTACGATGACAGAACAGAAAGCAAGCCTTCAATTAGAAGAGCATCCACTGAAAAATAAAACCAAAAGCAATGAGCCTCGAAGCGTTCTGGGTGGGAAAAGCCACTGGCCATGCTAAACGGGAGGGTATGGCGGGCTGGACATGAGGGTATGGCACCAGCTTTTCCTGCCCCAGGAACAGCACAGACACCCCAAACCCAGGTGCTGAGGAGGGCAGGGGCAAGGTGGGCACCAGGGACAGCCATTCCTGTGGTGTGACAACGTTGTCCTCCCCTCCCAGGCAGAGAAGTTTTCATGTTCCCTCAGACACAAAGGCGAACCTGCTCCTTAGAGAGACACAGCTCTTTCCCAGCACCCACCCAAATTCTCCACAGTGGTATTTTGGAACCACTGAGGTCTCTCAAAGGCAGTTTAATTTCCTTGCTACCATACTAAACCTTCCCAAAACAGAGATTTGTTATTCACTGGGCTTCCTCAGCCTTGTCAAGAGGGGACCGCAGAACCTGATCCTTATTGCAAACATGCAGAAGATGCTTTGACAGCCCAAATTCAATTACCATGCATGAGCACCGTGCCCACATGCAAACACCTACATCCACCCATCTCACGGGTGCTGGACACAGGTCAGCAGCTGCCAGCTCACACGGTGACAAGCCAGGACCGCCACACACACGCTGCTCCAGCAGAAACAAGCTTTTCTAGAAAGCCACAGCCAAGTTACAATCAATCCAAGGGCTTCCTAAAAGGCATACGCACAGCAGAGATCTTGCAAGCAATTAATTTCTGTACATAGGCTAACAGCGCAGGAAGACGGCTGGAGAAAATATTCCTCGTCTGAAGGAATCCCTTCAATCACACAAAATTCCTGGAGGAGAATACACCAGTCAGTGCGATTTAAGTGTCAACATAACAAAGGAACGCCCCTCCCAGCACCTCCTGCCTTACAGATATGCCACGCTGCACCGGGAACAGCAGCTACTCACAACCAGAACTGCTCATCCACCCTCCCTTGCCATCACCACAAACAAAAAAATGCTGGGGACTGTTTCTAGAAAGAGCAGATAGAGGGACGTGGAAGAAGTCAGCATCCTCTTTGAGGATCCTTCAGTGTTCCTTAAAGGAAGGCTGTGGACACAAGGAGAGCTTTGTCTGGAATCATCTTTGTGTATTTCAAGGTTACATATAAAATTAGTTTTGCCTAATATACATGCTTTGCCTTGCCACATGTACAGAAATGCTCATGGCTAAAAACAGCTTAAAATTAAAGGAATACAGCTTCAAATTAGTAAAATAATCTCCCATTTTACTCATCCAGAGCAAAGAATAATTATATAGAAAAATAAAATAGCAAAATCCGAAACATTCAAGGGGAATTAAAACGATAAGGGTGTTACTAAAATTAAAATGTATGCACAGTAGTGTAATAATAAATTCATAAGATACTGTAAAGCTTTCCCAAAACCAGACTAGGTTTATATCAAGATCACCATACAACATATGCCTGAAATATGTCTGTAAATAAGTGTGATTTAATTTGACCACCACCTACTTTAAGCCCTTAATTTTATAAATAGAAGTATATCATAAAGACTAGCGATTAAAAAAAAAACAACAAAAAACAAACAAACCAACACACACAGCTTAGAAGGTAAAAAGAACACTATATAAAGTCAAACATGCAAACAAGAAATAGTAGAAAATTAAGAGCCTGAAGGTAATTACTGAAACCATCTTAATTTCTATTCTAGTAGTCAAAAAAAATCCCCACCAAGTACTGCAGCAATGACAATACACAAAATTACAACTCCTTGATCATGAATATTCTGCCTCAAAAGTCTGCACATGTGCAGATCTCAACGTTTCCACAGTCCCATCTCAAAAACACAACTTAAAAATTACCAGCGCTATTTCAGCACTTCGCAATTGTTTTCTCACACACTGTGACTTTTTATTCCATGTCCATACCTGCTCCTAAATAGGATGGACAAGTGAAGCAGCAACACAGTTTCACCAAACTTCAGCTCTGCTGAATTGCTGTGTAGCTCACGCCCAGTCGCAATTTTAGTCAACGCGGCCGTTCACCTTACTAAGGTTACTACAGCTTTTGAAGCATTTCCTAGAGAAAGACACGAACAACTCGGTGAAGACGCCTTCTACAGCCACAAATACACGCGGGAAGCTGTCACACAGCTTTTGTCTATCACACCTCTCTGCTTTAAATACCGGGAAAATCACCTGGCTAGACAGGAAGGCGATGACTTTTGAAACCGGGTTCTGTCTCTGTGGCTCCATCAGAACCGCCACAATAAATACATGGGGTGAGACAGGAAAAGAGCCTCACGCCTGTGCGAGAGGGTGGGGGACCGCACTGACACGGGCAGAGGCAGCTGCAATCATTACCCGCACGCCGGTAATCATTACCCTGAGCGCCACTGCCACTACACACACACCAGTTCGCTTCAATTCCTCAGTGCCAGCTCTCGGCACCGGGAGCTGGCGGGGAGGAGGAGAGGTGAGGCTGTAAGACGGAGCTTCCTCCTTTCTTTTTGTTGTTATTGTTGTTGTTGTTGTGGCGGTCGCTGCCATCGCCCGGCAGCCCCTCGGCCGAGCCCCGCGGGGTNGTGGCGACGGCGGGAGCGGGGCCGAGCGGAGCCGGGAGCTCCCGCAGCCAGGGCCGGCTCCCCGCGGGACTCGGACAGGGCTCCCCTGCGTTGTCCCGCCACCGATCGCGGCTCCCGTGGGTGGGTCCCCGGCCCCGCACGCCCCGTTGAAAGCTGCCGGCATGTCCCCGGGTGAGGAGGGCAGCCCGCAGCTCCGTCGGTGACCCACCGCAATTCATTAAAGTGTTAGAACAAACAGGACGTGTTTTCCTGCCGTTCCAGCAGCGGAGCTGGCCCCCAGCGCAGGCAGGACCAGGAATGCCGGTGGGATGGGTTGGTGTGGAGCAGCTCCCCTCAGCGCTGGGCGCTCGGGCACAGCCGCCCGCCCTCGCTGCACGGCGCCTCCAGGGCTGAGACAGCGCCGGGAAAATGAACGTGGGACCGCGACATTCCCGTGTCTCCTTTTTCGACAAAATCGGGACTGTCCCCAGCTGGCAACTACTGTAACCTCGCACCAATTTGCTGACACGTCTTTCTGTAGGACATATCTCATGCTAAGTCCAGCCAAGCTGCCTTTGTACGGGATACGAGGGAGCTGCAGGAAAGGGCAGCAGCCGTTCTGAGGGTGACAACCACACCTCTGTGTAGACAAACACACTCAAGTGTGACAGAGCGCCTGCCGTCAGTTGCCCTTTCATTTAGGATGGTCTTTAAAAGCAAGTTCTTTGACGACTTGTTAAAACAGATCTTTCAGTATTTTGCTGAGAAAGGTTTAGCTTTTTGATGCTAAGTTCTCAGGTGGTTGCAATCAGTTCCCCTTTCAAGCCTAGATGGATTCTGCACCGTAGTAGTATCTCAACTTTATAACTTCTAAAATACGTTCAAATTAATAGGAGTCTACTAATTGATCTCAGTACTTGCTAGTCTGGACTGGTCCCACAGGTCACGTTCAGCAGCTACTTCAGCAGAATCAAAACCATGTGTAAATTTGGGAGCCATTTCCTACATCAGATAGTCAAATCTGAGAATCTGCTATTTCCACCAGATTTTTTACAACTTTTGGCAATCATCTGGGCTGGTTTCAGTGAAACAAGGCTATTCACATTCAATTATCAAATACCAAAATTCTGCCAATTGCCTTTGTGTGAGTCTTTGACAAACCAGACAGTTCAATGTGGTTATGTGGGCTTTTACTAGTAAATGCTGGACAGCATTAAAAGCAGAATCAGATTTTTGGCATATTGGATCACAAGACAGAAAGCAGTTGACATTTCCTAGTGGTGATATTTCTTAAAATGACAGGATGTTTATTTGCTGTTATAAATCAGTAAAACTTCATTGTGGACAGTGCAGGATCCTCTCTAAGACATGCAAGTACACACTTTGTCTTGAGCCTGAAGAAATGTTCCTTGTGTGACTTAATTGAACACAGTCATTTGCACTAAAAGACTCTAGTGTTGCAGGGAGGATCCGAATGTTTTGTTGGCCGTGTACCTTTACATTTCTCAGGCCCTTTGTGTGCAAAGTGTCACTGCTTAGTTGCCTTAGCACTGAAATATTTACAAGGGATACATACTACATGTACTCTGGTTCTGTTAGAGTCTCTACTTCTGTTTCTACTCGCTTTGCTTTTAAAAAAATATTATTTGAAATCTAAAGAAATGTTGCTTTATACTCAAAACCCCTTGATTTGTTCTGAAAAGCTGATATAAAGCAGAGCAGGACAATTGTCACCAGAGATAAATCAGCCAAGAAATTTGCACTGGTAACTCCACCCTTCTGCTGCAAATCCTTAAATATGTCATATGAGATTAGACTGATACTATGGTAATACTTGTGCCAACAATCAGAACTAACAGACATTTTCGCAAAGGCAGAATTCATGCATGAAAGATTTGTTTTTAATCTGCCCAAATGGAGTAGTTAATTTTATACCCTCCTACTGGATGCTGGAAAGCTCAGCTCCAACCTACTCCCAGTCTCCATCAGCAATGTTTGTCCCCAGATCTCATTGGCACAAACTGTCCCAGAGCAGAAGGTGAATATAAGAGTACACAATCCTTACAAGTATTAGTGAAGGGTCTCTCAGGATCAGGAGACTGCTGACAGGCCTGTATTTTGAACCTTGGTTCAAAACTGGTACTGTGGCTACCTCTCCTTAAGACAGATCCACAGAGAGCAAGTCAGAGGTTCCTCGGTCTTTGTTGTCCCAGAAACCCCACAGGACTGTACAGGGACCATGAATTACTGCCATCCACACTGAAACAAGACAGAGGAGAAATATAATTAAAGGGCATTTCATAACCTACATGGTTCTGAATTAAGGTTTCACTGGCAATTTCATTTGGACATTGCCTAACTTTTAAAGGCTTGGCTTTGCAACATTCATAATGTTCCTGTAACACCTACAGCATTTCCTGTGCTCCTGAAAAGGACAGCTGTTGGTGCAGGATCATGCAGCATCACAGCACCTCCATGGGCCACAAGCTGTGTGTCCCCACCCTTGTGTGTCCAGCAGACTTCTGCCCCTTTTACTGACAGAGAAGCCGAAGTGGACTGTTATCCTCCATCCAGACCAGCAGCAGAGAGGGATGAGTGTTGAAATTTGGATTATTCAGTGGATTCATAAGACCATTCCTAAGGCTATTTAGTATTTACACAGTTGTTTCAAGCATGTTTCTACAAAACACTGTGATTTATTAGGAGCTAGCTCTTACACAATGAACTAAAATAAAGCAATTAATTAGTTAAGCTTGCTTAAGCCAACCACAAGATCAATCTAGCAACTTCAGAAGCATTTTTGACCGAATTCAAATACCTCTGATATATAGTCCCACTTGCCTTTTCTTAATTTAGTGGCTGCCAGACTAATGAATTGACCCTTTCTCCCTTGGTCATGTGGCCTTTTCACTACCTCCTCCCAACTGTAAAATTTTTGTCATCCAACTACCCAAAAGCCTGCTCTCCTCCCCCAGGCAGGCAGCTGCTGCTGCCTCGGCCAAGGACACTCAGCTCCAGTCATTTCTGCTGCTGGGGCAGACAGCACAAGAGGCAAATTCTTTGCTGGCTGAGCCAACATGTAGACCAGCCTCAGGGAAGCTCTGTTCTGCTTCCAGCCCTGCAAGTCAGGATGTCCCAGCAAGCACAGCCCATTGTGCCCCTTTCCACCCACATACCCCTCTGCTCTGCCCCATGTGGGGCTGCTTCCCACAGCTCTCCCCTGCTACCCTGTGCCCACCCCCACTCTCCACTTGTTCCTTCCCCAGCTTGTCCCTCCTTTCTTAATCTCCAACAGGGCCTCTAACTTTGGTTCCCCATGCCAGGTCCTAGTCCAGTCTCTTGTCTGGTTCTTCATGTCACTGCCTATCCACCTGACTTTCCACTCTCTTCATTCTTCTTTCCTTGTACTGAAGTTCTGTTGTGTCTTCTGTCTGCCCGTTCCTTGCCAACCAGTCTCAACATAAAACTCTAATTCCCAGCTGTTCTTTTTTTTCTTTCTGTATCTCAATCTCCCACTATCATGTCTCAAATCTCAAAATTTCATACTAGGTTTTACCTTCCTCTCATCTACACCTCAATCTATCCAGACTTTCCTTTCATTCCTTTCCCTTGAATTGTCAGTTTACCAGAAGTTTGGCTTCTGTCTCTTGGCCAAAGGTTGCAAGGGGTTTAGTTATTCTGGGGGTGAGAAGCATGTTTTGAAGGCTGATGGCACAACAAATCCCACCAAATTTTATGAGCACCATACCCATCATGGAAATAGTATATGCCTTTGTCATTCTTTTCTGTCTTCCCCTCGAATAGCACCTTGGCTCCACTGCCTTGATTATGAGTAGGCAAAAACTGGGAAGGTTGGACCACTTGGCAGAAGGGGAGAGAGGGGAGAGAGGGAGAGAGGAAGGCACAGAAACCAAACCTGGAGGATGCACATGGAGAGTCAGAGCCCTTGTGAATGTCTAGAAGCTGATACTCAATGCACTGGCACACCAAGCTCTGTCCCATTGAAATCAGACTCTGACCCCCCAGAGCAAAAGCTTCTGCCTGGGCCAGGATGCCTTTGCAATACAAAGAAGGATGCAAAGAAGGGGAACCTCAAAATGTGCTTCTCTGTTGAAGGACTACAGTACAGTAAGATGGTGCTATTTTTACTGTCACTTCCTTTTGTATATTCAAGAGCCAGGTCTGCTTACTTGAGTGACAATAAATTATTTTTGCTTTTTTCTCCGATTGTTTTTACAAAGCAAATGTATGATAAAAGGACAGAGTACCTATGTTCTCAAAAACAAGCAGCACAATTTAGGATTTTAGAACTACCATGTAAAAACTAATTCTAGTCCTGCCAACTTCTACTTTCAACTCATTAGCCACCTATCCATGTCTGTTAGCAATTTTTTTAAACAGGCTTCATAGGTCTTACAAGAGCTCTTCCAAGTATAAACACATGACATATCAGGACTGAAGCAGCACATCCAGAATATCATGCATTAAGTTATTTTCTTATTTATTTGAATGCATACAGACTTTTTCCAGTATGTGCTGTGTCCTAACTGCCCCAAGGCCAGCAGTTCTTCAGTTTCTTTAGTGCAAGGGAAAACTGAAAATCCAGCAGGCTATCAAGCAAGCAAATCTTCAGTTATACAAACAGAGAGTCAACAAGTTCAAACAATTTATCTTTCAAAGTCAACATGACAAACAACAGAAACAAGCAAGAGCTTTTTCATTCACAACAGACAATAAACTGTATTTTTTTAATATAGCTATTCTAGACAGGATAGTAACAGCTGTTAGAAACTCCTATTTTTTTCTGCAGTGAAAGGCAGGGCAAATTAAAGGCTTCAGTTGCCTGTACTTTGAAAGGGGAGAAAGGCCAGAATGAAAACTCAGTAAAACTGAAACAGATGCTGATTATTCCAGCTCCAGTCAGGACAGCCATGAAGAAACTAACCTTTCTTGTTTTAATTTCCCTTTCAGGTACTTGCAAATCCATTTCTGACATCCCAGGGTAACTCAAAAGGACAAAGCAAGATCCAATAGGGCACTCTGTGCTCTTCTAGACAAGCTTCTCTTAGCTTTGGTCTGCAGCACCTGAATTTCAGTAGGTAGTGTGCCTTCCAAGGACTAACGACACCCAGGTCTAGTATAACTCCCACAACTAAGGGGCAAGAGGGGATGAGAATTCTCAAAAGTGGATTTAAATCTACAGAGGTTGAGCTTCCTCTGTAGTCAATAAGATAAGCCCTGTGCTTAGGCACTCTGAATCATATTCTGAAGAAATCACTTTTTCCATTGACCTCATGCAGACCCTGGGGAGTTGAGCTTTCCAAGGGAAAAGCCACTTCCTCCCCAGGAAAGTGCATTCAAGTCTAAGTGGCCCTGGGTTCGCCAGCTTTTCACATGCCTCACGAGCTGCTGGAGTGCTGTAGGTCTGTGCCTGCAGGTGGTACAAGGCATTGTCTACCATTGTACCTGTTTCCCTTGGCTCTCATGGCAGCCTTCTAAAACTGGCTGGCACCGGTACTGTGGTGTGGCTCAGATTTCATTTACACTGCATGTTGTTTCATGCCTTCAGAGATCCGTGGAGATTAGTACCAGGCTGACTGGAATGGCACGGTGGGTAGGAATGCGAGTGCAGCCCAAGTTTTTCTCTGCTGAACTTCATACGAGGGAATATTCTGACTCCATTCCACATAAAAGAGGGAGCAGGCTTCCACTTCCCCATCGTCCTCTCTGATCTTCCCGTTCTCAGCAGCCACAACAGAGCGGCAGTGTAGCCCCTCCTTCTGAGACAGAGCTTGACCACAACCATTTCTTAACTGCTATCATTTTTAGCTGATAAAAGTGTGAAGCCAAAGGAAGGAGGCTCCCGCAGTAGCCAAGAAAGGGGAAAGGTCTCTGGGAGTGGTGGCTCCAGGAAGGCAGAATTTTATTACAAGTTTTTTTGAGATTGCTGTAAACAACTCACCTGTGTCCTAAAAGTGGCTGGGAGTGGCAACACGTCCATGCTGAGCTGTGTGAAACAGCTGCCCCTGCCCAGGCACGTATCACTGCCAGCAGGTTAACCCAGGCCACAGGCACAAGCAGTTTTCCTTGGGATAACAGCTTGTCACTGCTGCAAGCTCTGCTGCCTGAAATGTGGAGGAAGATGAAGATCAGCTGAATAGGAAAGTCTCCAGGAAAACAAACAAACAAACACAACCCTCGTTCACATCTTCACAATCAGAAAAATATTCTTTAAGAGAGACCCAGGAAGAAGGAGTTGAGTTTGAATAAAATTTTTGCCTGTTGGTCTTAATAGCTGCAGCTCTGCTATTTTTTCTTCCTCTTGAGTGCCAGCAGGGATTGAGTGCTGGAGCCAGGGATGTATTTCCTGAAGGGTGACAAATAGCAATAAAGCCTAAAGTCAATTCCACACTGAAATTCTTACATAAATTTCTCCTTCCTGAAGAAACAAGATGGATGAAAAATAAAATCAGAAAGCAGTAAGAAATAAATAATCCTACAGTTCAGTTACAGGAAGTAAGAAGAACAGCCCCAAACTCCCCTCAGTCAGGGAGCCAGGCATTACAGGGAGTACACCTGTAAAGGGAGATTTCAGCTGAGGATTTCTAAATGAAATCCTGAAAATTAAGTCATTCAGATAGATCTTCCAAAAGGACCTAATGAAACTCTGTCTGCCCAGAGAGTGAGTGCCAGTAACCCTAACGTTTATTATTATCGTGGTAGTGCACTGGAGCCTTGATCTTTGCAGGGGGCTGTATAAGAAGAGTGTTCTGATTCAGAATCTGAAAGCCAAGTGTACCACCAGAAAAATGACACATATTTGTCACAGGCACAGGGAGCATGAGAGAAGAAAAGCAGTCAGAGTGCTGCCAGGTTTTTTAGAGGTCACATAGACAAGGAGAATGTTGGAGAGAGCTCAGAAAGATTATTTTTCAACACACATTATTAAGAGCCTGGTTGCAAGGATAGGAGGGAGCACAGAGATGTTTGAAATGGCAGCAGGTAGGCAGTGGAACTGCTGATGACCAGCTGATCTCAGGAAAAGAGCTGGTATCCCAGTAATACTGTGGAACAGAGGAACAGGGATGGGCTAGGGAAAGACAGATCTTGAAGAGGAAGGAGCAACACAGAGCAAAGGGCTAAGAACAGTCCCGCATTGTGAGGACAAGGGCTTGGTTATCCAAGAGTTTTCTTTCCCTCTCTTGTTTCTCAGGGGGAGGAGCGGTGTTTCAAGGGAGAATAATACAATCACTTGACTGTGTTGAGAGATTTATGGTTTGACTTTACCGTGTGTTAAAATATTGATTCTCTTTCTAACATATGCTTGAGATATTGACAATAGGTTTTTTTTCTATAAAGAAGACTGACTTCTGCAAACAAAAGGTGGGACTTCATGGTAGGATGCAGCGAGGATGGGTTAAAACAAAGTGAAGTAAGAGAAGCACAAGTCTCGAATTTCTTCCACTCAATTAAATAAAGATAGCAAGAGAGACACTGAGCAGTGTGTGGCGGTGAGAAGCTGGAATAATTAAACAATAATCTGACAGACGGTGCACTTACGGGCAATTACAGCAAGCCTCTGCTGGCACTCCAGGGCATCAGGCCAAAGACTTAAGTGATTCAAACCACACAAGTAGAGCAGTAACCTCCTAGAAATGCCAGTGTAGAGCATTTGGCTTAGCAGCCCAGAATGGGACTTACATGGAGCCAGGTCTCTGCATTTACCAGGTGTTAGCAGGAAGAGCAGCCTGTCAAAAAGCTGTTTCTGTGTCCCTTGGATAATGCATTTCCAGGCACGTCTCCTTGCATTTTGCATACAGCTTGAGGATCCCACTGCATCAAACAACAAACTTAAAATAAGTATATTCAGAAAGCTCAACTGAAAAAAAATCATTTGTCTGTCATCTCCCTTTGAAAAACAAGGACTGGGTTAAACACCAAGCTATCAAGCTACAGGCTCTGAAGGCATTTGGGATTCCCGCAGGGAGACACGCCAGGCTTTCTGTTCCTTGCCTTACCCCACCCAGTAAACCCAAACCACCCTCCTCCTCCAGTCTCTGAAGCTGGGCTCCGTGTCCCATGGTACCACTCAGCAGCTTCAGGGACAATTGCATGAAATCTGCAGGTGTATTTCTGAAAGCACTGGGATGCATCGTTCACCAAATGCTGCCACACTACATTTCTGATCTCACCAGCACATAAACAAGCTCTAGAATTTTAGAAAAGAAGAAAAAAGAGATCCAAGTGGAAAGCAAACAGAGATCAGGTGCTGTTAAAAGCCTCCTAAACTGTCAACAAAGTATTTACTTAAACTCAGAACAGAAAGTCACCTTCAAGATAGGTAGTTCTCACCAAAGTGGCTTTCTTTTTAAACACCCCATGTCTGGAGCTACATGATTACACAGGACTCTGAACCAAATTTTTGCTTTTTAAAGTAAGGACTTGATTCCAGACTTTCTTGTCATATGGCAAACATGAACTTGAAAGGCTTAAAGAGCAGAAGGAAAATAAAAAGCATTTAAAATGTATAAAGACAAAAACCAAGCCTCACAAACAAATGGGACTGGCAACATTGCTTCACCTAAATGCTTTTTTCTTCTACTTAGTAGGAGATGTTTCTCAAGACTTGAAATAAGTGTTGTTTTGTATCTGCAGGGCTTTCAGCGAGCGGTTGCCAAATTACAAAACCCTCTGGATTCCAACAATGCACATCTCAGCTGTCTGCTGCACTCGGAGTATCTGGGAACAGGAGAAGGAAAACAAGCTTATCATTTATAAAATTATTGCTGGTTTTGTGGCTCTCTGCAGTGCACAAGAATAACTTGTTTGTGACATCAGTAAAATAAGGATGTGCAACCTAGAGCGCGTTGTCCTCTCCATGGATACCATGTTTAAGGTTTCTCAAGTAACACTGGGTTTCATCCCAACATCGAGCCTCAGGACTCTGGGAAGCTTCATGCCATGGGGACACAACTTGAGACCTGGGCACAAGGACAGTCTTGTTCTGACTTCTTCAGCCCCATGGAATGGCACCAAGATAATGCACTGACTCAGCACAGTCCCACTGCAAATGCACGGTGCTTTTCCCAGATGGAAGGGTTTTGGCAAACAGCTTCCCAGCTATTCCTGGCAACTCGAAAGGCCTGTGAGGGAAATGAATGGGTGCTTGAGCACATGTCAACCCCAGAGGCCAAAAAGCTCAAAAAATGGGGTATAACTATGCTTTCTTTAGCAGAAAAGATTGGATGCCTCATCTGTAACTGGAAAATTCACATTTTTTCTTGTTGTTTCTCTGCCAACACAAGGGGAGTTAGGTCCTCTATGAAATGCGCTTCCCTCCTCTTAACTATAGCCAACACCATTCTAGTGAATAAATACCAGCCTTACTCAAAACTAAACCCAGTCCTGTTTTTAAGGCACTTTGAAAAGTAGGATATTAAGCTGCATGCCCATGCCTCCCTCCTCTCTCTCATCCAGACCTCCCAATCAAGAAGGTGGTAACTATGATTTTTTTTCCCCAGGAAAGAAAAAAAAGGAAAGAGGTGTCTTAAAAACAGACTTACTAGAAACTGTTGAAAACAACCTCCACAATCACGCCTGTCCCAGTGCTATCAGCTTCCTAGATAGGCTGCCAAGCTGGCATTTGAGTAGCTAAGAAAATGGATCTAGTACAGGATGCCAGACTCCTCAGTCACTAAAATGCTCAAGTAACAAACTGAGTTGACCATTGTTTCTTATCACCAAGCAAACAAACCCTGTTGGCAGGAAAACTGCTTTTGGAAAGTGATTCCCTGCATGACTGAGATGGGCTCCAAATGCAAGTGTTCACATAATGCTGGACTCCAGGTCGCCACTGGCACTGTGAAGGACACTGGCAGAAAACCTGGCCTACAATTTGATTTCAACATCTTGCTTACAGCTCGTTTCTGTTGCTCTGCAGGCTGTATTTGCTACTGCAGGAATAACTCTTGCTTTCACAGTGCAAAATTTTCAGTCATAACTGGGTATTTTTATGTTCATTTTTAGCCATAGCCATATCTAAGATGCTGGATCTGTTCTTAAAAACAAACTGACAAACAATTACAAATTACTGATCTGAAAATTGCATGTACTCTTTAAAATGGCCAAGTCTAAAAACATTCATCATAAAGCAGTGCCTTGCCTCTTCCCTTCCAGTCAGCGCAAAATACTGATTGGCACGCGGAAAAGCACATCAGACAAAGGAGCTTTTCCACTGAAATCAGTGGGAATGCTTCTGAGCACTTCAAAGGGTAAAGAAGGATGTCTCCAGCAAGCACATCTATTTTACAGCCTCATCAATGCCAATCTTCTGACCTGAAAGTGGAATATGTGAGTAAAGAGAAAAAGGTCTGTGCTGCCCGGGACCAGCCCAGGAGTGTTATCTTTGGCCAGCTCCACAAAAGGCAGGAAGGAGGAGCCCTTCTCTCACCCTCTGTGGGCTCTGCTGGCCTCCAACCCAGCATCAGGCCTGGCTTCCAGCGAGGTGGAACCAGGCTACCTGAGGGATTGTCAGCTTCCCACTCTAGGTTGCTTAGAGGAAAAAGGAAATGGCTCTGGAACAATGCAGACAGAGGCTTTAAATAACTATCAGAGAGGTGCTGCTTACTGGAAGTTTAAAGTTTTATCACTCACTACTTACCCAGCAAACGTTGGATCCACCTGAGCTAGCAGAGGGAAGCATGCAGACAAGCACCACCAAGGCAGAATGGAAAAGGGTTAGCAAAGATCATTTTCTCCCTCATTTTACTCATCCACGGCCATTCCCTGTGCACAGCAAGAAGCCAGATCTCAATCCCAGAACACTGAAAGGAGCCATCCCCGCCTGCCAAGGCCAGGTTAGCAGGATTACCAGCCTGAACTGCCAATCCCCAGGCACACAGGGTGCGCAGGGCGTACAGGCAAGCTCATTAGCGAACTCTAAAATTACGACACATCCCGGCATCGGGGCTTGCTGGGGCATGGCCAAGGCACAGGACAGGTGAATCCCTCTCCGCCCATCCCGGGTCACACGCGGCTCCCCGCGGGGGTTTCCCAGGAAGCTGCTCCCGGTGGCAAAGATCCTCCAAAAGGCGGACCCCTGCGGGGGATCCCGGTGCACTGGCCCATCAGGTTCAGCCACTTTTAAACTCCCAGTGTTTAGAAAGAGAGCGGCTTTTACTGCTGTTTACATGTCAAACAGCAGCATGATTCACATCGTGAATCCCGAGGCGCTGCCTGGAAACGAAAACCGGGACGCGTACGCCCTGGCCACGCCCGTCTGCTGGACGGTGTCTGTTGGGGATTTTATTTACAGAAGCAGAAAATAAACCATAAAAGCGCCTCAAAGCCCGAGTTCCGCGGCGGGCCCCGGCGGGCGTGCAGGCAGCGGCTCGCCG